GATGGACAGATGGATGGGTGGATACATAGATGGATGGCTAGTTACATGGATAGGTACATAGATGAGTGGATGGACAGATGGATGGATAGATGAGTGGATGGATAGGTCCATAGATACCTAGATAGATAAACAGGTGGATGGATAGATAGACACATAGGTGGATGGATGGGTGGATGGATGGATGGATGGATGGATGGATGGATGGATGGATGGATGGATGGATGGATGGATGGACGGATGGATACATAGATATGTAGATGGGTAGACACATGGCTAGATAAACAGGTGTTTATAACAGTATAAACAGACGGACAAATGGATGAATAGATTGATAGATTGGTTGATTCCCTATGCTGGGCACCTTCTCTCCCCCGACACCCATGTTCAGCTTGCTTTTGTGAGTTGTCATCCCCCATTAGATTATAAGCTTCTTGAGGGCAGGGATTTTTTCATATTTGTATCCCCAGCACTTAGCCCAGTGCCTGGCACATAGTAGATTCTTCATCAAGGTTTATTGACTGACTGAGCTAGTTAGCCAACCTAAAAAACTGCCTTTGCTTGGTCATTCACGTGGTCCTCATTGTTCTGCCCCTTTTGTTTCGGAGCCTGGACGCTCACATGTATAAAAACACATTTGGCTGTTTCAGCCAGATCCATAAGAGTGAGGGCCTCATGGCGTGAGTAACTTGGAAGACTTTTCCTAGACAGGCTTGAGGATTCCAGAGCTTCAGAATACTAATCCATGTCTAGGATCGTCTATCGATTTTTCTCTAATGATTCAACCCGGAAACATGGCCGTGGGCCTTGGTCTTCTGTGTCACTGCCTTAGGCCCCTGAGGCCTTCCAGGGGAGGTAGGGAGCAGGCCTCCCCATCCCCACCCCCCCACGTTGCCCAACTGGGGTTCAGGGAGGGGAGGGAAGCCCAATACTCACCCTGACTACTCCCTGGCTCACTTTATCATCAATTTTCAGTTTCCACTCTTGGCTCCACCTTATTCATCCAGCTTCTGTCTGGCATGTTTTTTAAAAAAAAAAAAAAAGGTTCAGGAGGGTTGTGGAAGCTATGTTTAAGAACTTGAAGGGATTAGCCTCAGAGGAGGGAGGCATCAGCCACAGAGGGAAGGATAAGCCATGGTGGGGGGAGGGGATGATGAGCCTCGGAGGAGGGAAGAGGGAGGGATGAACTTCAGGGGAGGGAGGGATCTCCTGTGGGCTGACCAGCCCCGGAGGGCAGGTCTCAGAGAAGGGGATGGCCAAGGTTCCCTGTCACCTCACAGAGCTGTGCTGGGTGCTACATAGAACTCTGGCCTCTGGGGTCTGAATCCCCTCTCACACCCTCCTCAGCCCCTCCAAACTTTCATAACCTCTTCCATAAAATGATGACCCCAAGAGCACCCATTCTGAGGCGCCCATCCGAAAGGTCGGTGGTCATGGTCAGGGTCTTTAGGACAATCCTAGGACTGGAGATGAGGAGGTGAAAACCCCTCCTCTCCTCCAGGAGGAAATGGGCCCAGATGGAGGAAGAGATTTGCCCAGGGTCTCACAGCCAAGGCTTCCTGGCTCTGTCCTCTGAACCACCCAGCCAGAGACCTTGAGGGTCATTTCCAGGGTCTGGAGGAAGAAGTCATTCGCTCCCACTGGTGTCTTCTTGGCTTTGAGCTGCTGGGATGCATGAGGACACTTTGGGTCCTTGGAGAGCGTGAGAGCAGCTGCCTGTTAGTCAAGGAAGGGGGAAGGGAGCCTGGAACCAAACCAAGCCTTCTCCCCATCTCTGGATAGCTCCTCACTTGAGGCCTCAGCCACTCACCAGCTGGGTGACCCTGGGCCAGTCACGGAACCTCTGCTTGCCTCAGTTTCCTCATCTATAAATTGGGGACAATAAGAGCACCTCCCTCCCAGGGTTGTTGTTGTGGAAATCAAATGAGATAATCATTGTAAAGTGCCTCACACCATACCATGCCAGCACCTAGGATATGCTGTAGAAATGTTAGTCATTACAATGGCCCAGGTCAGGACTCGAAGTGCCCACTGGTTTGCTCTTGCGTCAGTGATAACAACCACAAAAGTCATAGGTGTTTCTCAGAGGTGGAGGAAGCTGCCCTGTGTGAGCAGGAGGCTTTATCTACCCAAGGAAAGAAAGAAAGAAGGAGAGAGGGAGAAAGGAGAGGAAGAGGAAGGAAGAGAGGGAGGTAGGGAGTCACAGAAGGAGAGAGGGAAGGAGGAAGAAAGGGAGGGAAGTGACAGGGGAGAGGGAGGAAGGAAGGAAGGAGGGAGGGAAGAGACAGGAGAAGAGAGGGAGGGAGGAAGGCTTTATTAAGCCCTTGCTATGTGCTAGGCACTGGGCTAAGTACATTTCCCATTTTTATCTCATGTGGTCTTCACAACAACTCTGACAGGGAGGTGCTGTTATTCTCCCCATTTTATAGAGAAGGGAAATGAGGCAGGCAAATGTTCAGTGACTGGCCCAGGGAGTGCCTAAGGCTGGATTTGAACTCAGGTCTCTTCCAGTCCAGTCCAGTCCAGTGGTTCCCCCTGGCTGAAGAGAAGAGGGGCTCTTTTTCCGGAGGACATTTCTTTTTCACTCATTTTCTGCTTCCCAGGTTTTACAAGGGAACCATCCCACATCTTGGCAGAGTTTGCCTGGACGTGGCCGTTGTCTTTGTCCTGTATGGAGAAATCATCAAGTTTCTCAACCTGATTTGGGTGACCAAATGGTAAGCAGGATGTGGGCAGGTCGAGGGCAGGGCCCCAGCCCTCTGGCCTCTGGCACCCTGTGGCCCTTGCTCCTCTAGAGTCCTCGTAAGCTGGCGGCTGAGCTGGGGCTTCCCCATGGACCCCCAAGATTCTGCGTCTGACTCGCTGATGTGTCTCTGCAAACGCAGTTTTTTGGGCCCGGGGTCCAACTTGTTGCATTGGTCCGGGGGAATGAGGAGACAGAAGGGGGCTGTGCCCCTCCTGCTCCTCCCCCAGGCCCCCCAAGAATGGGCCCTCCCTCTTCCGAGGCAGAGGAGGAGACTAGTCTGTGGGCAGAGCTTGTTTGGAAAACTAAGCCCACTGCCCTGGGGCTGCCCCCTGGGAACCTGGCTTCTGGAGAGACACCTCCCCCTGCCCCAGTCTTGCCTTCACCATGACTGGTGCCGTTGACCTCTTAAGCCAAACTTACTGATCTGGGAGCTGCCTTCTCTTCTATGCCTCCTTCCCTCCCAGAGGACACTGCCAAGCGGCTGCCTGCTGTGGAAATGCCCCAGGAAGTCCCTGAGGTCGCCACTGGCCGCTGGCCACCATCCACTTCCACTGGAGCCTCCTTTTATGGGCATCGGCATGAGGCCCCTGACCTGACTAGAAAGAAGCCTTCTCCCTCAGCTCTCCAACCAGATGCCCCTGGGGTCTTTTCCTGTAAAGTTCTGCTGACCTGTATCAGACTGTGCACCGTCTGGGGGGCAGGGAGGGAGGGAGGGAAGGAGAAAAAAGTTTGGAACTCAAGATGTTATAAAGGTGAATCTTTACGTGTAACTGGAAAAAATAAAGCTCTGCTAACATTTGTGTTGGAAGCATGAGCTTCATCCTGCCTTCATCAGAAAGAAGGAGAGCAAAGCCTCTCTTGTGGAAGACACCAGTGCACCCAATGGGCATGCTCCACGGAAACGGTTCCCTCGTGCCAAGAAGGAGTCTGGGGGGTGCTGGTGTAGACGAAGGTGTGAGTCTCCAAAGTGGAGATGAGAAGGAGCCATTCAGATGACACCTCAAAGCAGCAGTCACTAGTTACTAATTACTAATTAGTTGCTAAACTGAAGCTCCAAGATAAGAAATAGATCTGTGGACTAGATGAAATAGGCAGGATCTGTTATTTATGTTTATTTTCTCATTCAGCCTAGAAGGTCAGTGGAGGCTCCCAAAAGCTTTCACTGCTGGGGGCTCACCATTCTGGGCCCTGACTCTGCCTTAGCGCTCCCTCCTGCATCTCAGGACTCCCAGGCTCAAGGGACATCCCCCAGCCATTCTCAGCCTCCCCTGACCTGAGATTAGAGGCATGCACCAGCCTTTCTGGCAAGAAGCAAACAGACCGCAACCCAGTGTTCAAGAAATCCAGGAAGCTCACACCCCTTCCACAAGAACTTCTGGGGAAATAGGAAAGTAATTTGGGAGAAAGCATCGGAGCCAATGAATTACAGCTGACTGCTAATAGGGAAGGGCAGAATCTAAATAGAAAAAGGCACACCTTGGAAAATGGAGGGAGAATGGGAGGTTATCAGTCTTTCACAGTCTTGGCTTGAGGGAAAACTCTTAACCAGACCCAAGATAGAAAATATTTTGTAGAAGACACAGTATATTCTTTTGATTAAAAAACTTCACAAACTTGTGCCCAGATAAAACCCACACGGCTAAAAGAATAAAATAATAATAATAACTAACATTGAGGTAGCACCTGCCGTGTGCCAACACTGCGCTGTGTGCTACAACCTTGATTTCATTTAGTCTCACAACAAGCCTGGGAGGTGGGTGCTATTACAATCCTCCTTTTATGGATGAGGAAACTGAGGCTGACAGGGGTAAAGAAATTTGCCCAGGGTCACCCAGCTTGACTGGATTTGAACTAAGGTCTTCCTGATTCCAAGGGAAAGATTTTCGTGAAACATCCCTCATAAAATATTCAGAGCAGCACTACATATTTTTTTCACTTTGAAAACAGTATATTTTATTAATGCCTTTCATCTTTCCTTCCTAATTCTTTCCCCCTTGACCCCTCCCTTGTGTCCAAGAAAAGCAAGTAAGCAGAAGCATTCACAGTAGACACCGTGTCTGGATGTGCATTCTATTCAGTCCTAGTGGTGCCCCCTGCTTCCTCCCTCCCCATTGCTGGGAGGGAGCTCTCTTCTCCCAGCAGGACCCTCACTGCTGGTGGTGGCGGGTTTCACGACTCAGGGTTTAGCTTCTTTTCAGTGACCTTTTCATTGATCTCATTGTAATCATTGAATCTTTTCTGGTCTTGGATCTCATTTCACATGGTATCAGTTCACACAAATCTCCTGGCTTTTCTCTGAATTCGCCACTTTTGCCATTTCTTACCCTGCAAGACCCGAGTCACTTTCCACCGTCTCCCCTCAGTGGGTGTCTCTTTGCCATTGTAGAAGAGACGGATAGTCCTGACACGCATCTCTCCCTGCTTCCCACTTCCAGAGAGGCTCCCTTTACAAGGAAGAATGTTGTTGAAGGAGAGGAAAGAGGAAGAGAGAAAAATTGGAAAAGCTGATCAGTACATCACCGAACGAACCTGACGCTCGTTCCACGCTACGGACCCCAGCTCTCCAAAGAGCAGAGAAAGCTTTCCTTCCAAAGAGATCATCTCTGCAGAGCCCTCAGCCGTGGTAAAGGCCCATGGCCAGTACTCTCTCCCCGCTTCTGTTCTGGAGACCACGTGGGCTCTCTGGAGATTGCAGCATTCACCTCAGACTGTCGGGAGGTGGACAATCTTTCCAGGACACGGTCCCTCTGCTCCTGCTTCAGGGAGTCTGTCCAAAGACCCGCCATCCTCTTGCGGCTCGCTGCTTCTTATCTCGCAGGAATATTCTATCCCGTTCAGGTCCCGCATTGGTGAAGATGTTCCCCAGCTGGTGGACAGCGACTTTGTGTCCAGCACAGCCCAAAAGGCACAAATGAAGCTCCCCATCTGAACAGACAGAGAACAGACACCTAAGGCTTGGAAGAAAGCCTCCTGACAAGCAGGTTTCAAAGGAAGACACTTCTTACCAAGAGGCATCTGGAACACCAAACGTCAGAACTGCCACTTCCCACCCATTCCGCTGGCAAAGACGGGGGAAGGTGGAAATCGTCACCATTAGTCAGGCTGTGACAAATCAGGGAGCTGTGAACGCACGCAGCCACTTCGGAAAACAATGATGCCTGTCCTTTAACCCAGGGATCCCACTCTGCTATGAGGTCCTAGCCTGCTCCTTTTACGGATGAGGAAACTGAGGCCCTGAGGCAAAGCAGAGAGGTGTCCCTCCCCACTCCTGTGGTCATTGGGAGAGGGGAGAGGTTGCAGGACCTGCCCGCCTCGGTGGTTCTCTTAGGCCACTTCCCTGGGATTCCCAGGGAGACCTTGGGTTGGTGGGCCTTGCTGACTTCTCCATGGCTCAGCAGTTCTGAGGATCAGAACTGAATGAGGCTGGTTCCAATCCATTCAACAGGCATGACCTGTGCAGGGGGGTTATACAGTCAGAGCTGTCAGACATACTTTCATGATGACAGCTGGAGCCAATAGCCACCCTCTGAGCCTGGAGCCCAGAGAACCGACACCTCCCCACCCCATCCCCCCTACCCCAGTGCCCAGCTGCCTGCAAAGAGTACTAGGTTTGGAGTCCAAAGGCTTGGGTTCAAATCTAGACCCTCACACTTGCTGTGGCCTCACCTGTCAAATGAGGAGCTTGGTCTGGAGTTCCTCCCAGCAGGAGCCCCCAGTGACCAGTTTGGGTGACCTTTCTTTCCAGAGCACCCATGGCCTCATCCACTAGAGGTCAGTGTTAGCACATGTGCTGGGCCTTGGAGACAGAGGAGGGACTGACCAGTCAGGGAGGGGAGGAGAAGGCTGGCCAGGTGCTGGCTGCCTCTCCCTGCAGGCCTGGCCTGGGTTGAGCTACTTGGCCCCACCTTGAGAGGGAGACTTTCAGAAACACCCACCTACCAGTACTGCGACCCAGACCAGGGGAAATTAAAGCACCAGCCCTTGGGGTCGGCTAGCCCTGGCAGGACAGACAGTGTGAGCCGGTCCTTGCCCAGCCGGAGCTGACATGCCACTGACAGAGACAGCCCAGCCAGCCTGCTGACTTACAGCTGAGGGTGTGTCTATGGGGAGGTTGGGGGATGCCAACGCTGATCTTTGCCCCTCTGGGACCTCCTAGAGGACATTTGAAAGTCACTGAGACAGAAGTACTCCCTAAGCTTCAGGTATTCCTGCCGGTGAGAGCTGGGCTGGTTTCCAGAGGCTCCACAGTGGGGGCCAGCCACAAAAGTGACCACACTTGTAGCTGGACCTCCTGCCCATGCTGTGTAGGGCTGTGGGGGGGGGCATGGGGGAACATGAAGGATGCCCTTAGGAGCTCATGTGCCACTAGGGGAGGCCCTGGATCTATACAAAGGAAGCACAAGGCAGTTCAGGGGTGGGGTTGTCTGGTCAGGAAAGGCCTCGTGTAATATGTGGCCTTTGGGCTGAGCTTTGAAAGAAGGCAAGGCTCCAAAAAGCTGAGACCAGCCAGAGAGATTTGTGTCTGATCCTACAGATAGTCACGAGTCACTGAAGCTTGTCCAACCCAGAATGACCTGGTCAGGCCTGCTGAGCATTAGGAAAATCACTCTGGCATCTGTGTGAAGGATGGAGAAGAGGGAAGAGAGAGGGAAAGGTGAGGAGACCAAGGAGGAGGCCACGGCTGTGGGCCGGAGGAGGCCGGGGCCACCGAGGACGACAGCAGAGGGTGGAGGGAGAGGTGCTGTAGGCAACAAGCCTGATGGAGCACCTCCTGTGTGCCAGACACTGTGCCAGGTGCTGGGAAGATAATGCAAAAAAGGGAGCTGGGGGAAGGGACGTGGTGACATAGAAGGCCTGGCCAGCCTGGGCCCATCCTCAGTGCAGGCCCCCCATAGGAACTCCCCATTGGGAGAAGAGGGCGGGCATGGCAGACACAGGAGGTTAGAGGGCAGCTGGGAGGCAGAAGCAGGGAGATCTGGCAATGCCTTAGCTACCAGGAGGGAGCGAGTGGGATGTTGGGGATACAAGCGGAGGGAAGGATGGTGGGGCCTTGGCTGGAACAGCACAGATGGGGGGATGGGGGCTCCCTTCTCCCCTGGCACAGCCCCACCTGGCAGCCCTGCCAAAAGCACAGATCTGATCTTGCCAAGGTTCCCTGTTACCTACCCCCAGGATCCCATAGAAACTAGCTCCCAGCCACCTTTCCAGGCTTATCTCCCCTTCCCGGCTCCGTTTAGCCTCCCCTGCCACCTTCAAGGCTTCAGCCACCCTCTTCCAGGGGGTCTGTCCTGATTGCCCTGGTTATTTGGTTCTATCCCCTAGGAAAAGGCATGTACCAAGAAGGGCAGCATTGGTACTGCCACATTCAGTGGCTCAGAGAGAAACAAGGTGTTCCCCCAACAACCCTCTTGTGGACTTCGTGGTGTCTAGAAGGAAACCTGTGTGCTTAGTGATTTTCTAGTTCATAAGACAATTACATGCTGATGACCTGAGGGCAGGGACAGGTTTACTTTCTTCTTTGTCGGCCCAGTACTGAGCACAGGGTCTGAAAGGAACATCGTAGACTTTGCATAAAGGTTTGATTGACTCATTGACACACTGCATAACTCCCTGAAACTGGGGGGGGGGGGGGAGTGTGCCTGAAGTGAAACCTTTTTGTGCTCCTGAAATGAGGTTTTAAGACCCCCTCCTCCCTCCCCTTCCTCCCTCCTCCCTCCTCCCTCTCCCTCTCCATCCCTGTGCTGTCAATCCTAGCGCAAGGGAAGGGAGCAGATCCTTCCATCAGACTGATTCCAAGAGTCCAAGAGGTCCTGGCAGACTCATGAACCCACCCATACCAGTGCCTCAGGAACTGCCTGGCTGATTCCATGGGCACATGCCTGATGCCAGAGCTGCCCAGGGCCCACAAGCAGGTGGTCTTGACCCTGTCTCATAGCACACCATCCTGACCCAGTCTATCCCCGAGGAGACCCAGAAGGGAGGGCAGCAAAAGAAATGCATCCCCACCCTCAGGAAGGCAGAATAAGCTGAGTCCCAACCCTACCAGTGGGCCAGGACATTCGGAACCTAAGGGCATCTATGAGAAGTCTATGAACAGACTGCTGGGAAACTTAACCCCAAGGACGCAGCCGCTGTCAGAGCAACATAACCTCCAGACTGGGAGATGAAGGAGCCTGCGGGAAGCCCGCTTCTGCACCAACAGGCCACCTGGCCCTCTCTGGGCCTCAGACCATGGATGGGCTAACCCTACATGCAAACACAGGCTTCAGCAGAGCCTGTCCTCTGCCTTCATGTCAGGACCTGCCCTAACTGGGGGTTCAGAGCGATTATGATTGAACTCATAACCTTTCACCTTATTTGTGTTCATGGCCCGACCTTGGCAGTTGGACGAAACCTGTGGACCCCTTCTCAAAAAATGATGTTTTTTGATGAGCAGGCAAACTTCAGAAAAACCTGAAAAGACGTGTATGGACTAATGCCGAGTGAAGTGAGAAGAACCAGGAGAACGTTGTGCACAGTAACGACTATAGTGTGTGATGACTAATGTTGAAAGACAGCCCTTCTCAGCAATGCAAGGATCTAAGATATCTCTAAAGGCCTCATGATGGAAAATGCTGTCCACATCCAAAGAAAGAACCATGGAGTCTGAAAGCTGATCGAAGCATACTATTTGCTCTCCTTTTCCTTTGTTGTTTTGTTTTATTGCTTCTTTCTGGTGGTTCCTCCCATTATTTCTAATTCTTCTCTACAACATGACTAAGGGGAAAATGTTTAATAGGAATATATATGTAAAGCCTATATCAGATTGCATGACATCTAGGGGAGGGAGGTGGGGAGGGAGGTGGAGAGGGAGGGGGAGAAAAATTTAAAACTCAAAAGTTTATGGAAGTGATTGCTGATAACTCAAAATAAATTAATAAAAAATGTTTTTAGATACATGAAATAAAATCTATAGGATTCAGGGGTCATGGATTACATTGAAATTTCTCAATATGGATTTCTTGAGTTCATAGACTGTGTGAAGGAGTCTTAGCATCAAATAAGCTCACTAAAGTTACAGAGGAGACCCTAGGGCCTTTGCATGGTGCCTGGGCTCGAAACGAGCCAACTGCTGTCAAAGGAGGTGGGAGACATCTCCAAAACAAGGAGCAGAGCCAAGCATCAGCTGCCTCCAAGTCACCCCCCCCGCCCCCGCCCCCAGCGCCAGTATCCTTTCTGTGGCTGTCTGAGGTTCTTCCTGAAGACATCGTGTAGCAGAACCCCACCATGGTGCCCTCACGTCCATACAGCCCTGCCCTCCCGTATAGGAGTCTGTCAATTGGGACATTGTGTGGGCAAGCAGAGGGGTTAGAGTTAGGGTGACTGTGTAGGGCCAATATTCTCCTCTGATACAAGGGGTCGGCCTCAATGACCCACCCCCAGGGCTCATTCACCTTGTAGTCAGCTCTCCTTGCTCTGCCAGGCTGAGCCAATGGGCAGCTCCGTAATACAGAGGACAGAGCACCAGGCCTAGAGTCAGGAAGACCCAAGTTCAAATCCTGCCTGATATACTTACTAAGGGTGTGACCCTGAGCAAGTCACTTCACTTCTGCCTCAGTTTCCCTCCCTGTAAAAAGGTAATGATAAGAGCACTTCTCTCCCAGGATTGTTGTGAGGATCAAATAAGATGTTTGTAAAGGGCTTTGAGCAGTGCCCGTTAAGCATTATTACTGTTAGTCTGGGGATGGAGAGCGCCACAGCAGTCACTGGGTCCTACCTTCCCTGGAGAAGCCAAGGGCCCCTCCACAATGGGCTATGGACCTCTGGCTAAGGGAATGGGACAGGTCAGTGCTAAGAGAACCAGAGAACCCTGGGAGCTTCCTAAGGGAGAAGGCCTCCCTTAGGGTTAGGGTGAGGGAGGCAGGAAGGACCGGCCCAGGCCCTGAGGCCTCACACGACACACAACTTCTATCTGTACATAAAAGTGTTGTGGATGACCAGGCCAGCAGCCGTGGGGGCCTGGCCCTGGCCCAGGCTGCCTGGTCCCACCTCCCATCCCAAATAAAAAGCCAAGTCCAAAGTGAGCCTGGGTGCACATCTTTTATGTACAAACGGGCATAGACACAGGTCACATTACCTTATAAATAGCTGTAGCAGCCCTCTAAAAAGAGACCAGCCGAGTGTGACTGAGCCCGCCCACCCGGGGCACCCAGGGAGGGCACTTGGGGGAGGGGGCCTTGGCAGCGACTTCACAGCATGCCCCCCGGCTTGGGGCTCGAGCATTCAGGGGAGGGGGCCTGGGTGGTTCACCGCAGGTGCCATGGCCTGGGGCACACCGCGTGATTCCATGAAGGCACTTTGTGAGAAGCCCGCGGCCACCTCAGCCTTTCCCATTCTGGACTCTCCCGGGGAAGGGGGTGACCTCATAGCACCAACGTCTGCATCCTTTCTCCAGTTCAGTAGTGCTTTGCTGACTCCATGCCTGGGAGGGACTGACCTTGGCCTCTTCTGGGGGCCGTGGCCAGGCAGGCCCGACACGTCACTCAAAGCGGCGTAGGTGGTTATACAGGGACTGCACGTACGTGAAGACACACATGGGGTCCGGCTTCCGGCCCATCACCATCATGTCGTCCACCTCGATGAGGCGCTCACACTGAGCCAGGTTCCTAGGACACAGGACAGGAAGGCAACTGGTCAGCCTTTACTGCGTGCCCACTGGCCTACTCTGCTAGCTCGGAGCTAAGTGCAGGCCACATGGGCCCCAGGGCTGCATCCCAGGATTCAGGAACGGGCAGAGCTCAGGCTCTGTCACTGGGGCTCACCCCATTTCAAGGAGAAAACTGAGAAAGTAGGTCCTGAAAGGAGAAGGGACCCAGCACAAGGACACAGGTAGTCAGAGACAAGATCTGGGGGGTGTCCTCCCAAGCCAGCCTTCACATCGACATGATAACAAGCGTATACATCGAGGTAGCTAAGTGGTGCAATGGACAGAGTACTGGCCCTGGAGTCAGGAGGACCTGAGTTCAAATCCGGCCTCAGAGCTTGACACTTATTAGCTGTGTGACCCTGGGCAAGTCACTTAACCCCAATTGCCTCACCAAAAAAAAACAAAACAAAAACAAAAGCAATAAATAAAAACAAAAAAATGCATCATATTTATACACATTGCACAGTCCTACATTAGGGGTGCCCAGGGAAGGATGAGAGCTTGGGGCCTATAGGACCCCAAGCAATCCCATCCAGCAGGTGGGGATGTTTTCTCAGGAGAGCTGGGGAGGATCCAGAGGGACAAGGCATGAGATGAGACCTCGCCTGCATGGGCTGCTGCTGCTGCTGCTGCTGCTGCTAAAGCTCTGGGAGTCAGCCCTTAGGCAGGGCAGCCTGAGCCCCCATCCCACTCTGTGTGCCTTGAGACAAAGTGAAACCTAATCCCCACAGCCTGCTCTGCAGGCCCTGGCTTCGGCCCAGGGCTTCCCAAAAACCAAAGGTCAAGGCGAAATTGAGCCATCCGTCACAGGCTGTCCCCACAGCTATTTGAGGCTCAAACCCCGCCACGGCAAGGGACAAGTGAGTCTGCAAGGACAGAGCTGGATGTGGGCCAACAGACCCCAGCCCCTTCCTCTCCAAAGGCCCAGTCAAGCTTGGCCATCACGGGCAAGAGCCTCCTGTCTGAGTCCAGGGATCTTCTCTGGCTGGAGCACCACCTCCTCCTCCCAGCCCTCCTCCTCCCCTCCCCCATCCCCCTCCCCCCTCCCATCCCTCCTCCCCTCACCCTCTCTTCTCCCCTCCTCCTCCTCTTAGCTTCCATCCAGCCCTACATCCTCCAAGATCCTGATTCCCCTTAATGCCAGGGCCTTCCTTCAACTGTGTGCAATTGGTCTGGTGCATGGCACGGTTTGCTCCTTGTCTCCCCCATTAGAGTGGGAGCTCCCAGAGGACAGGCAGGGGCTTTGGCTTTTCTTTGTATGCCTAGGCTTAGCACAGGGCCTAGCACTAGCAGGCACTTAATCAATGCTGAGTGATTGGCGCAGGTGAGCTTCGGCTCAGAAAGATTCTGACAAACTGGTCCCCCATCTTCACCTTCCCCAGATTCTCTAAGCTGCCCCTGGCTGGGGAGCTCTGCTAGCTGGAAACACAAAAAAAGCCCCAGGCTTGCATGCTGGTTCTGGGACCCCTGGAGCCTCAGTTTCCTCCCCTTGATGTCCCAGTCGCACCAGGGCCTCCTGGGGTAGTGGGGGGAAGGACCCCAGAAGCCACATGGCCCTGAGAGAGCAGGCACCTTGGGGGCCGGCTTTTCTCAGGAAGAATTTTCCAAGTGTGTTAGGAAATCTGATGCCCTCAGTTCAGTTTTCACCAGAGACACATGGAAACCACAAATAGCCCTCCCTCCCCCCCGCCCCAGTTGTTCCAGCTGTAACCAGAGAAGCTGAAAGACGTTGCCAGCAGGGTGAATGGGATGCTGCCCTCGCTCGGCTGGTCTGTGGCTCTCTGTGTCAGAAGCTCATCGTGGGGGCTCGCCCAGTTCTGTCCCTCGTGGGGGCTGAGGACCTCCAAGGCCAGCAGGCAGCCCGATTCCAAAGCACCGCCCCCTCCCACACTGCCACACAGATGGGAGGCTTGGGGACCGTGCTCACAGACACATCTGCTGCCTCCTTGAGGCCCAAGGCCGACTTCTTCCTCCCTCTCCTCCTGCTCTCTCATTACCCAGATGCCGCGAGCCCTGTCTCCCAGAAAGGCCAGCTCCTCTACCTGCACAAGGGGCCCGCAGATTGTCCCCTCCATCAGCCCCCCTCCCACTAATTAATTTTCAATCTTTCCTCTACTGGCTGCTTCCCTGCTGCCTATAAACACGCCCAGGACTCTCCAGTCCACAAAAACCTGCCGCAGACTACACCTCCACCCACAGCCCCTGCCCCACTCTGACCCTGAAGGTTTGCTGTCCCTTCACCACCAAACTCCCTGAGGAGCGGCCTGCAGTCGTGGCCCTCCCCCTGCCCCTCTCTCACTCTGGCTTCTGTCCTCCTCCTTCATCAAACTTCTCTATCCAGAGCCGACAGTCTCTCAGTCACCGAAACCGGGGCCTTTTCTCTGCAGCCTCAGAGCGTGTGGTGCGCTCTCCCCAGGCTGCCCGGGGTCTCCGCTTCTTCCCTCTCGGCCGGAGTCCACAGATTCAGCCCCGTCCCCACGCGTGACCTTTCTCCCCACCTCCAGGCTCCCCCTCCCCACTTGGCCCCTGGCTGCTGGTGCCTTCTGAGACCACATCCATTTACACTGCATATTTCTAGACTTGCATCTCCACCAGGAGAATGGGCACTCCCTGAGGGCAGGGACTCCACCTGCCTTGTGTGCCCAGCACTTACCACAATGCCTGGCATGAGCTTAGTAAGCCCTAGACTTGCTGACAGACTTCCCTTTGCAGGCCAGGCCACAAGACCTGGGCCCTGGTCCATTCTCATCGGCTGTTGAGGGGCCCCAGGCAGAACCAGCTTCCATCTCCTCTAGGCCCCCATTTATAGAATAACAAAGACTAGTGCGGCAATTTCCTCACATCAATTTTGGGATTCCCTTATGCACGGAGGAGAAAACTGAGGCATAGCTCAGCTCTCTCCCGGCATGCCATGTGGCTCTCAGAGGGGGGCACTGCTGGGCTCTCGGTTCTGGCGAACCCATGGCACTCCAGCTCTATCTCCCCAAAGACGACATCCAGGCTAAGTTCCACTGGGCAGCTGAAGGCAGTTCAGCTGTGGTAAATGATTCTGCCCCTGGGGCTGTGCCCTCTCCCTGAGCCCTCTGGGACAAGGCTCAGGCTTGTAGGGACACGAGCAGGCCAAGCTCTGGTTAGGAAGGAAAGGAGTGAGGCCACAGACAAGAGAAAAGAAACATCTACTGGCCCCAGTGGCCCTGCCAGGTCCCTTCTGCCTCTGGGGTGCTCATCGTCTTCCTCCTCTGCCAGCACCACGAGAGAAGGCTGCCTCAGGGCCAGCCTGGTCGTTCTCGGAATGTGCTCAGGGCTGGGTAGGCCAGGGCCATTGTTCTGCTCACTTCACGTTGGATCAGTTCACGGAAGTCTTTCCAATCTTCTCCGCCTCTTTCACACGCACTGTTTCTTAGGATATGTAACAGTCATTACAGCACAGCCATTCCCCAACGGATGGGTGGGCACAGACTTGGGGGCTGTTCTGGGGCTCTGGGATTCAAGGGGATGGGATGAGGACGTTGGAGAGAATGTTACAAAACTATGCCAGTGACGATGGCCCACGACCCAGAGCAGCTCTCCAAGACAGGAGGGCCAGCGCCAGAGGCCAGCTGGGGCCCAGTCAGCTCAGGACACAATGTCCCAGCAGCCTTCGGGGCCCAGCGCCCAGCCCCCAGCCAAGTTTCTGAACTCTCTCGGCTGGGCCCCTCTAGGACCAGGGATACAGAGTGACCAGCTAGTCAGAGGACAAGGGGGAGAGGGGCCAGCCTGTGACTGGAGACTAGAATCAAGGACCCAGACCCTGTCCTTGACTTCGCCTGCTCCCTGATCTGACCAAAATGAGATCTCTGAGTCAGCCCAGAGAGCACTGAGGGTCAGTGGGAAGTAGCAGCAGGGTCTCCTGACCGCCAGCACAGGGATCTGCCCCAGAAGCCCTGACCCCCCAGGGAATGACTGTCCAGATGCCCCAGGCCTGTGCATGTTCCTGAGCCCAGACGCTTCCTCCAAAGACCATCCATGGCAGTGCCCTGAGCCAACACTCCTGACAAGATTCACCCCAAGTGGCACCCAGCAGCTAAAGCTAGCCTGGTGGGGCCAAGCTAGGGCCCCCTTCCCAGTCCTGGACCTCCTCCCTCCCTGGCTCCAAGGGACCCGAAGCCTTTGGGCTGTGGGGTGTTTCCTGGCAGAGGTCAGCTCCCTCTCACTGGCCTTCAGGGGACACTGACAGCATCTGCAGCTCTGGAGAAGTCTTGGATGCTTCAGAAAGGCGGCTCCCCATCTGCTAAGCCTGTGCCACTGGGCTGCCCAGTCCAGGGACAGACTGTGAAGAGGTCCCAGCAAGGCCGAACCACTCAAAGAAGGGCAGGGTCACATCACTTTGAACACACGACACCCTCCATGAGGCTGGTGTCTCAGGCATCAACCCATCGACCCCACAAGGATCTTGGATTCTGAGAAGTGAGCTCTCACCTCATTGTGCCCATGAGCGGGCCTCCAAGGCACCTTCTGCCCATAGTCACACACACACACACAGAGTGCCCTCTGTCCAACTCCTGTGTATATGTGCGGGAGGTGGGGCAAACTCCACCATTAGAACGTAAACTCCTGGAGGGCAGGACTACCATGCTCCACAGCCCCATGCTTCATTCTGTCTCTGTGTCTCTCCCGTCTCCCTCTGTTTTTCTCCCCCAGACCCAAGAGCGGCTACACCTCAAACCAGAGCACCTGTTCAAGGGGCGAGTGGACCTGGCCCAGCACAAAGATGGCCACTCTCCTCACTGCTTGTCTGCCAGACGTACCGGGAGAGAAGGAAGGGCCTAAACAGCCTGATCTTCCCAGCCCCCCACAGCAACCGCACCAGACCCAGCTGGGGCATGTCCACTGTGATTTGGAAGCAGGAATTTGGCCTGGCCCGACCAAGCTGTCCTGGCCTCAGCCTGGCCATGGCTGGGCTCTCCTGGCCTCGGCCCACTCTAGCTCACGGCCATGAGTTTGCTCCCTCAAACACACTCAGGAAGGTGCTCCAGGCTGAACCCAGACCTGTAAGATGCAGGCTCCCTGAGCATGATGGAACAGGACAATGATAAATGTTGGAGAAAATGTGGGAAAATTGGAACACTAATGCATTGTTGGTGGAATTGTGAAATGGTCCAACCATTCTAGAGAGCAATTTGGAACTATGCCCAAAGGGCTATACCCTTTGACCCAGCAATAGCACTTCTAAGGCTGTATCCCAGAGAGATCATAAAAATGGGAAAATGACCCATACGTACAAAAATATTTACAGCAGCTCTTTCTGTGGTGGCAAAGAATTGGAAATTGAGAGAATGCCCATCATCTGGGGAATGGCTGAACAAGTTGTGGTATATGAATGCAGTAGAATACTATTGTGGTATAAGAAGTGATGAGCAGACAGACTTCAGAAAAACCTGGAAAGACTTGTATGGTCTGATGCAGAGTGAAGTGAGCAGAACCAGGAGAACGTTGTACACAGTAACAGCCACGGTGTGCGATGCCTAACATTGATAGACTTAACCCTTCCCAGCAATGCAAAGATCTAAGACATCTCCAAAGGCCTCGTGATAGAAAATGTTATCCACATCCAGAGAAGGAACCGTGGAGTCTGAATGCGGATGGAAGCAGACTGTTTGCTCTCCTTTTCCTTTGTTGTTTTGTTTTGTTGCTTCTTTCTTGTGGTTCCTCCCATTATTTCTAGTTCTTCTTTTCATCATGACTAATGGGAAAATATGCTTAATATGAATGTCCAAATAGAGCCTATATCAGATTGCACACCATCTTGGAGAGGGAGGGGGAGAAAATTCCAAACTCAAAAGCTTTTGGAAGTGAATGCTAAAAACTAAAAATAAATACATTAATTATCAAGAAAAACAAGACAACACAAAACCCCAAAAAAGATGCAGGCTCCCCTGCCCCACTGCCTGCCTCCAGGTACTCACTCAGCCATGGAGAAGGCCAGCTCAAAGTTCTTCTTCCGCTCACCCGGGTCCAGGGAGTTATAGTCAAAGGCTTCCGGGAAGAAGGAGTGAATGAGGGCGCAGAAGGCCATGCCGTCGCTCCAACTGGAGGAGAAGTTTTGGAGGTCGACATGCTGCAGTGACCCAGGGAAGGAAGGAGAGAAGAGTGAAGGCCAGGCCTCGGCACCCCAGAAGAGAATGGGGAGGGAACGGGGCCGCCCTCCTGTCTCCCGCCCCAAGGGCATGGCCTCTTCTTCTTCGCCCTGAGATCAAACCCCATGCCAGAAATGCTGACCCTGGGCCTGGCATTTAATCCATGTCTCAGTTTCCACATCTGTAAAAGGGGACGCTGATGCCGTAGTAAGAAGCTGTGTGGCAGAGGGGCTAGGGAGGAGTCCACAATATGGGGGTGGTGTGACCTCGGTGCCTCCCTTGACCACTTCCCCCAGACAGGCTGCTAAGAAGGTGAGGTACATCAGCAGAGGGGGGGTTCCTCACTGGACCTCAAACCTGCCTCACCAAGTGGCTATGGGGACCCAATGAGATACTGTGGTCATGTTAGGGGACCCCAACCCTAACTCCTCCCAGGAATCTTCTTCTCGGCCCCCGGCGCCCAGGCAGTGGTCCCCCCCCCCCCCCCCCCCCCGGTCCAGGGAGGCCTTCTCCATCCTCATGGCTGGCCTCCCTGCCCTCCCGCTCACACTCAGGATCTCACCTGGTACCCAATGGTCTTGGAGCGGCACCATTCCAAAAGAATCTGCTTGATGCTGCTCGCGCTGGCCACGCCGAAGCTCTGTGAGCGCTTGAGCTTGGCCCGTGACTCCCCTCGGCCCCTGGAAGACAGACCTGACACAGGCTGCAGGACTGGCCTGGCCTCGGGCCTCTCCCCAGTAAGCAGGCGTCCATCCCTCCCCCTTTCCAAGGGTGCCCCAGGTGCCATCGATCCAGGGCCAGCTGCTGCTAGCCTGCCTGCATGTCTGGGCTCAGAAGCCTGCCCCACACCCCCGGGGTGCACCTCTTGCCAAGGGGAGTCAGGCGACCCCGGGGGCTCTGGGGCTGTGTTGTAATGGATGCGGCCCCTCTGGCCTCCCCACCCCCTTGTCAGTCAGTCACAATCAACACTGATGAAGTGACTAGCGTTGGGTCGTAACTAGGGGCCACTAGGTGAGAGCTCAGACAAGCCATCCCCCTGCAAAATCCCCCCGAACCCAGCCGTGCACAGAAGGGGATCAGCTCGTACTTGCCAGCATCTTGTTCCCACTTCTCAAAGAGCGCTTTGCGGGCCTGAGCCCCGGAGGTCCGCGGCAGCGTCTGGGATCTCACCAGCTCCCTGCGACGCTCCCCCTGCCGATGGCTGACTGCTGGCGGTGGTGGGGATGGCGATTTGGGAGGGGTCGCCTGCTGGAAGCTGGAGAGAGGGCTACTCTGACACAGGAGGGCAGGAAGCCCCCTCTGTCCCTCTCCCCCTCTCCCCGAGATGGGCACGGTCCCACAGTGAAACCCAGCAGAGCCAGAGGGCCCCTCCCCTTCCCATGAACTCCCATGGGCAAGAGCAGGCAGCTATTCTGGCCCCAGGAAGGGGCCCTTGGCTCAAGCCACTGACTGGTCTGACCAGTTCTGTCCCCTCAGCTCACTGGCCAGGGGTCACTCTGCCAGTCCAGCCAGGCCCAGAGGCCTGGGAGAAGCTGCCCGCATCCCCACCTGGGGCTGAGACCCCGAGGACAGGCCCGGTCTCTCATGGGCAAAGAGCCAGGGCAGAAGTAGCTTCTGAACTGGGCCCTGATGAGGCCCCCTCACTCCTAGGGGATCAGGCCAGCTCTGAGTCACCCCTTTTACATAGTGCCCAGTAAAACCCAGCATAATGCAGACCTCAGTCCTCCCTGGCTGGCAGGAATGGACTCTGAGGCCCTAGCCAGCCTACATCAGGCCAGCCCCAGGAGCAGGAACTGCAAGACACGGTCCTGCATCATGGCAAGCTCTTCAGGTCCCTGGGGCCAAGACCTCTGTTACAAATGCAAAACCAAAGGCCTAAATGTGTGGTCAAGGGACGCTGGGCCTCAGGCTGCACTGCGACATCAGAGGCTATGGTGGCTAGGTGGTGGCTGTGGGAGGCCACGGGTGGTCACAGGTGGCCGGGGGTGCTGAAGGACGGCCAGCTTACCTTTCATTGTTGACGAAGGCACTGGTCATCCCAAAGCTGGTGACCCTGAGGCTCTTCTCTAAATGTCAGGAGAAAAGACACCAAAATACAGAACCCCGGGTCATGCGAGTGTGACAGCTCCGTGCGGCTCCCGCATCTGCTTGCTGCCCCCTCCCAGGCTGCTTTTACCACTGCTCACACTTGAACAGGACCTGCCCCTCCTCGCCTCGTGATCCCCATACTTCAGCCTGGAGGGGAGGACAGGCAGCAAGGGGCACTTGGGGCAGCTCCGGGGCCACAGAACACAGAGCTGGAGGGAGAGCCAGCCACGCCTCGGAGGCCTTCCGCTCCCACACTCACCAGCTCCCCTCTGTGTGACCCTGGGCAGGGCCGGAGGGATGGCCCATGCTCAGGGAAGGCACCAGCCTGCCCCCAAGAGCACTCTCAGCCTAGCAAAGGCTAAGGAGAATTGTATTCTCCCCATTGAACAGAGGGGAAAACTGATGCTCAGTCCCTGGTCACATAGCTGGCATGCACTGGAGGCAGGATCTGGACATCCAATGTTACCCTGCCTCAGTATCCCCGTCTGTAAAGAGCTTTACAGATATTCTCTCACAGGACTCTCACAACAGTGCTGTGAGGGATCATCCCCATTTTACAGATAGGTTCAGTGACTTGCCCAAGGTCACACTGCTGCTAAGTGTCTGAGGCTGGATTTGAACCCAGATCTTCCTGACTCCAGGCCCAGCACTTGGGGCACTGCGACAGCTGCCCGTGACATTTTCAGACATTACTCCGGGGGGAGGGTCTGAGAGCCTAAAGGAGGGGGAGGGGATGGCTACACTAACTGGAGGTTGGGGGTGAGGACAGGCAGAGAGCAAGGGGGGGGTCAGTCAGCAGCCCTCCCCCTCTCCCTCCCTGCCGCAGAGCTCCACCTCCCACTGCCCCCCCCCCCCCCCCCCCCCCGGACCAGAGCCTCTCTTTCCCTCCCTACCTGGATGGCTGGAAGTCTTCACTGCCTCACTGGGGCTTGTGCGGTGCCCCTGGGTAGCCATGGAGGATCCGGAGCAGGCCAGGGTTGGGGACACGATTTCCCCTGAAGCCTTCTCTGGGCCCCGGGTGATGGCAGTGACAGGCTGGTGGGGCATGCAAAGAGACATACTTGGGGGATGGGGCTCGAGGGGCCGAGGGACCTCTGGGGAGAGAACAGAGCGGGACAGAGAGTGAGTGAGGCAGCATCCCTGGCCCGGGACGGGCCAGGAGCCGAGACTTCCACCTCCCCCCGGTCAATGCTGGGGGCTGCTCCCCGACCTGGACCTCATCCTCACAGAGCCCGAGGAGCGGCCAGGCCACAGGCAGAGGCCTGCACCCGGGTCTCTGGGCCAGCTGGCTCCTCCTCTCACTTTGCCGACACTGACCCAGCCCCTCCGACGGACACAGGCCCTGCCTGCTTACAGGCCACCCAAAGGACCACTTGTATCCTTTTACTTCTGTGCTCAAAAACTATTGGTGGCTCCCTACTTCCTACAGCATCAAAGTCCAACACCTTCTGCAGACCCTTTGGGTACTCCCCTGTGGCAGGGTTTCCAGACCGCTGGCCAGCCCCAAGATGAGCTGGAGAAAGACTGTCCAGGTCTGGAGCAAAGAGTCTGGGCGGCAGTCACCTGGGGCTGAGCCCAGGGAGATTCCTCACTCACCTGCTGTCACCTGATGCCCATTCTCCATAACTGAGACATTTGAGATTCTCTTCGCCTCTGAATCAGCCCATTCTTCCTGATCCAGGCTCTGAAAAGACAGAAAACCGTGTGTCTGTGTGTCCCCCCTGGGCCAGAGTCTGTCCCGGCCTCTCAGGGGTCCCCTTTATCTTAGCCAGCTGGGGACCCTCTCTTCAGGCTCCCTAGGGTTTGCTGCGTGCTCTCTCACTCATCCTCATAACACCCCTTCCTGTCCTTTAGGGAGGACTAATTGTCTGGAAGAAAAAAGTGATTTCATTCTGGAGAGCAGTCTGGACCTATGCCCAAAAGGCTATAAAAATGTGCATAGCCTTTGACCCAGCACTTCTAGGGCTGGATCCCAAAGAGATCACACAAATGAGAAAAGGACCCACATGTACAAAAATATTTATAGCAGCTTTTTTGTGGTGGCCAAAAACTGGCAATTGAGAGGATGCCCATCCATTGGAGAATGGCTGAACAAGTTGTGGTATATGAATGGAATGGAATACTATGGTGCTATAAGAAATGATGAACAGGCTGATTTCAGAAAACCTGGAAAGACTTGTATGGTCTGATGCAGAGTGAAGTGAGCAGAACCAGGAGAAGGTTGTAGACAGTAACAGCCACATTGTGCGATGACTAAATTTGACAGACTTAGCCCTTCTCAGCAATGCAAGGATCTAAGACATCTCCAAAAGTCTCATGATGGAAAATGCTATCCACATCCAAAGAAAGAACTATGGAGTTTGAATGCACACGGAAGCGTACTGTTTGCTCTTTTTTTCTTCTGTTTTGTTTTGTTTCCTCTTTCCTCTCATTCCTCCTGTTGGTTCTAATTCTTCCTTACAACATGACTAACGTGAAAATATGTTTAACAGGAGTGTATATGTAGAGCCTATATCAGACTGTGCACTGTCTTGGGGAGGGAGGGGGAGAAAAATTTTAAACTCAAAAGCTTATGGAAGCGATTGTTGAAAACTCATAATAAATTAACTTTTTAAAAAAAGGGATTTCAGTTACAGAAGGAGCCAAAGGCAGAGCCAGAGCAGGACCCAGACTGCTGGGCTCCCAGGCTAGGGTTCTGCCCATCAGACCGCAGTCAAGCCATCTGCTCCAGGATGGGGAGGAAGAGGAGGAAAGGAAGGGACGGAGGGAGGAGGAGGGGGAGATGGGGAGGGGGGA